AGGGATCTTTTAAGAAGAGGAAGAAGAAGAAAAAGGTAAAGAAACAAATTAAGAACAACAAATACACATCTATCAACAAGTGAATCTAAGAATCAAGTGAATAAATAATCTGATGAACAGAATGAACTGGTGATTATAATAGAATCAGGGACATAGAAAGGGAATGACTGACTATACTTGGGGGGGGAAGGGGTGTGGGAGATGCGGGAAGAGACTGGACAAAACTCGTGCACCTATGGATGAGGACAGTGGGTGGGGAGTGAGGGCGGAGGGTGGGGCGGGAACTGGGAGTAGGGGAGTTATGGGGGGGGAAAGAGGAACAAATGTAATAATCTGAACAATAAAGATTTAATTAAAAGAAATAAATACATAAAAAATAAAGACTGAGCAATTCTGGCAAAATAAATAAATAAATAAAAATAAAAAAGAAAGCATCAAGTAAAACAGAATCTTTACCTATTTTTTACTATTTCTTCAGGAAAAAATTTATGTAGGTATTTCCTGCTTTTAAATACAAGTTATCCCTGGAGACTAAGTGTCTCATTATGGGACAAAACACTAACTTCACATATTCCTGTACCTTTGTTCCCAACATACAGCAGGTACCATATAAATATTAACTGGCTGAATATGTTTATATGAATGTTAACTGCATGAATATGTTTAAATGTACATATTGAGCATCTTAAGTAAAAAACCATCAAATGAGTAAGTCATAAAGCAAAGAATAAGTCTTTAAATTAGGCATCATGAAAATTTAATCAAAAAGTGATAAATATTTAACCAGAACCTACTATATGCCAGACACTTTTTGGGCACTGGGAATGCAGCGAACAAGACAAAGTATCTTCCCTCATGAGACTGTCATTTAAGCTAGAGGAACAGATAAATAAATAAACAAGTAGAAGGCAAAATTATGAGCGCTACTTGAGATGCATGTAGATATTCACCCAAAATCGAACATGAGAGTTGGTTGACTTCCAGGTCAGCTAACTCTGATCCTTTCAACTCCTTATTTTAAAACCCCCAAATTTAAACTTTCACAGTGCAGCATTTTTAATGGAATAGACCCATGCCTTCAAATCTATATTGAAAACCGCATTTTATGAAGGCCTTTTCCAAGTGTAGACCATAGCCCAGAAGCAAGCATCAAAGCTTAAACCAGTTTCCCAAGGTGTGCTCTGCAGATCTAAAACTGGAAGTCATTCATTTACTCAACAAAATATTTATTGCATTCCACATATTCATGGGAAAACTAACAGTGGGGATACAGCAGTGAATAAGTCAAATTCTCTTCTCATGGAGCTTATATCCTGGTGGGGGGCAGGGGTAGATAGTAAAGAAAAATTTACACACAGACACACACACACACACACACACACACACACACACACATTGTCATATTGATAAGTGCTATGAAAAAACACAAGGCAACTGTAATTTTTCAATTATTCATTTTTAAAATTCTTTATTGTTTATTACATAAGTCTCCTTTTTCCCCTGTTGACCTCTCTCTGCCTCCCCCAACCCCCAGCACATGCTCTCACCCCCCGCCCCTGTGAAGGCAACTACATTTTAAATAAGATGGTCAGGAAATGCCTCTCTAATAAGTGGTTAATTGAGCAGAGAGACCTGAAAGAAGTGAGGGAATGAGTCATGGTGGTGTCTGGGGAAGAGCATTTCAGGAAGATTACAGCAAGTCAAAGGCCTTGAGGCAGGAGGTCAGTGTGATGGGAACACAGTGACTGAAATTGTAACTGGTGGGAGATAAGATCACAGAGGCAATGAAGGTCCAGATCAAATAGGGTCTGATATACTACTGTAAGGATTTTGGCTTTTACTGTGACTGGGTTGGGGAGCCATTGGAAGATTTTGAGCAGAGGGATGACATAACTTGGGTATTTAAAAACTGTGTTAGGGAAAGTAGACAATGGGAGCAAGGTGGGAACAGAGAGATGAGTTAAGTGGTGATATCAACAACCCAGGAGGAAGATAGTGGCAGTTTGGACTACAATGGTTGAAGTGGAACTGGTGAGAAGTGGTCAGATTTGGGCCAATAGGACTTGCTTATTTTTGTATGTGATGTGTTAGAAAAAGAGAAATTTCCAAGATTCGGGGACCAGGAAACTAGAAAGTGAGGTTACCATTTACGAAGATGGAGAAGATGAGAAGTAGCCTTGGAGAGGCAGATGTCAAGGGTCTGTTTCTCAACATGTCAAGTTTAAGATGTCTGTTATACAGCCAAGAGGAGTTATTCATTAGACAGAACATGCCAGGCCAGAAATGAGGGCTGGTATATAGGGGGAAGAGTTCTATGGACAAAGGATTTTGAAATGCTGGGTAAAGCAGAGCAGGCTCTTTTCCTCTAGGACGCCTTAAAGTTTTAACCAAAATGTACTTTGTGGGGCCCAGACCTGCGAGAGGACAAAGGTGTTGTGAAAACCACTGCTAACTCAAACCCAAGATGGGAAAGGAAAAGACTCATATTAACATTGTCATCATTGGACACGTAGATTCCAGCAAGTCCACCACTACTGGCCATCTGATCTATAAATGTGGGGGCATCAACAAGAGAACCAGCGAGAAATTTGAGAAGGAGGCTGCTGAGATGGGGAAGGGCTCCTTCAAGTATGCCTGGGTCTTGGATAAACTGAAAGCCGAACGGGAGCGCGGTATCACCATTGATATCTCCCTGTGGAAATTCGAGACCAGCAAGTATTATGTGACCATCATTGATGCCCCAGGGCACAGAGACTTCATCAAAAACATGATTACAGGCACATCTCAGGCTGACCGTGCTAACCTGATTGTTGCTGCTGATGTTGGTGAATTTGAAGCAGGCATCTCCAAGAATGGACAGACCTGTGAGCATGCCCTTCTGGCCTACACACTGGGTGTGAAACAGCTGATTGTTGGTGTTAACAAAATGGATTCCACTGAGCCACCCTACAGCCAGAAAAGATACGAGGAAATTGTTAAAGAATTCAGCACCTACATTTGTTCTCAAGCCCGGCATGATGCTCACCTTTGCTCCAGTCAATATTGCAACTGAAGTAAAGTCTGTTGAAATGCACCATGAAGCTTTGAGAGAAGCTCTTCCTGGGGACAATGTGGGCTTCAACGTCAAGAACGTGTCTGTCAAAGATGTTCGCCGTGGCAATGTGGCTCGTGACAGAAAAAATGATCCACCAATGGAAGCAGCTGGCTTCAGAGCTCAGGTGATTATCCTGAACGACTCAGGCCAGATCAGTGCTGGATATGCACCTGTGCTGGATTGTCACACAGCTCACATTGCTTGCAAATTTGCTGAGCTGAAGGTGAAGATGGATCGTCTTTCTGGGAAAAAGCGGGAAGATGGCCCCAAGTTTTTGAAATCTGGTGATGCTGCCATCGTTGATATGATTCCTGGCAAGCCAATGTGTGTTGAGAGCTTCTCTGACTGCCCTCTTCTGGGCCATTTCACTGCTGATGACATGAGACAGACAGTTGCTTTGGGTGTCATCAAAGCAATGGACAAGAAGGCAGCTGGAGCTGGCAAAGTCACCAAGTCGTACCAGAAAGCTCAGAGGCTAAATGAATATTATTTCCCACCCCCGCCACCCCAGTCTTAATCAGTGGTGGAAGAACGGTCTCAGAACTGTTTGTCTCAACTGGCCATTTAAGTTTAATAGTAAAAGACTGGTTAATGATTACAATGCATCATAAAACCTTCAGAAGGAAAGGAGAATGTTTTGTGGACCATTTGGTTCTTTTGTGTGTGTGGCAGTTTTTAAGTTATTAGTTTTTAAAATCAGTACTTTTTAATGGAAACAACATGACCAAAAATCTGTCACAGAATTTTGAGACCCACTAAAATAACAAATTTTAATAAGAAAAAAAAATGTACTTTGTGAACATCCAAGAGAAGGATTTAAGTTTTATAAAACTTATTTAGCTTATTTATTGAGTTTCATCATACATATTTTAGGGAGCTTTAAGTCACATTACTATTCCATAGAATATCCTTTGGAGAATACTGTTGAAGACAGTGAATGATAATATTTTAATATCTCTACCTTGAAGCAAGATATTACACAAAGCAATATAATTTTGGAATTATATCTTTTAATTAGTACCTGATTACTTCTGTGGTTCTTTGCATTTAGTCTTGTAAATTAATAGAACCCCTTTCTAGCTTGGAAAAAGAAAGATTATTTTGAGTTTAATTGTATAAATCTAAGATCTTGAGCAGTTCACTCCTTGTGTGCAATAATAAAGTCAAGTTTCTAAACCTACAGGACAAAGGGCTCAACCTTACAAAGTGCAGGCTGAAAGAGTTCAATTTGCCTTTATTCATTATTTTTTCTTCAAAACAATGGGTCTTGTAGATTCAGACCACCACCTCTCATACCCATCATGATCAGTTTTAGCCTCTTGTCCTATCACTGTCACAGTACTCTGCCCTGGCAATCTCATGTTTTCCCATGACTTAAACCACATACACACCAATTACCTCCAAATTCACGTCTCCTGCTCCCAGCTCTCCCTGATTTCTAGAACAGTATTTCCAACTGCTGTCAGCATCTCTGCTGTGATATCCTAAAAGCATCTCCAAATCAGTGTTTCCCAAACTGAGTGAGAGCAACTGCTCCCTCAGAACCTGTTCCTCCTCCTGCAATGCTTACTTTGATTTGAAACCACTGAGTTCCTGTTGCCTCACAGAGAAGCCTAAAGTCATCTTCACTTAGTTGACCCCATCTGCCTCCTGCTGCCACTCTCCATGCCCCCACATGAAGCCATTCACTGCCTTGTCATCACTACTTTCTAAATACCTCCCAGTCTTCATCCTCGTCACCCTCCAGAGACACTTCCTCAGTTCAGGTTCTAATCCTGTTCTACCTAAATTGTTTCATTAGCTTCGAAGTCATCTTTCTACCTTCTGTAGGGGCCACCAATAATAACCAGTCCTCCTTGTTACTGCCAGAGTTACCTTGTCAAATGGAAAACTAGTCACGTAACTACTCTGACGAAAAGCTACCCCTAGTGTCCCATTATCTCCAGAATAAAGCAAGTGTGTTCAGGGTCTTTCATAATCTGGCCCAACTCACCTTCCCTGCCTTTCCTCCCACCACCCACACCCCAAGAGACACGGAACAGCTTTCTTCCCATACATGACCTTTCATACTTCTATGCCTTTGTACATGCTGGAGTCTTGCCCTGCTAGGACATGTCCCATCTCTCTTCACGCCTACCCAAACAACCATCTTTTATCAGGCTTATCAAAAATTGAAGCTCATTTAAGAACTTTCTTCTGGACCCCTCAAGCAGTCAGATCTCTCTGGTACCCAGACCTTCATATGTAACACAGGTTTCTCTGCACCTTGGCAGCCTGAGGATAAAATGGGAAAATATGGATCATCTGAGTGAGAGCCTCCTGCTCTCAGCTCCTAACAACAAAAGTTGGGCATTTGAGTTTAGGACAACACTATATAGATGGCTGTTTTTAAGGCTAATGAAATGGATTACATTGATCCTTAACAACATACCAGGCCAAAGAACCAAACCCGTGGAGCCTGCAGAGTGGCACAGCAAAGTCTTATGGAGACTGAAGCTGAGATTTCTTCAGGAACCAAATGGAGCTCTAGGAGCCAAGTTGTTTTATTGTCCCACCAGAAGCTAGACTTCATGAAGCTTGGTCTTTTGCTTCCAGTTTTTGTAGCATCTACTCTCTTTGTTACCCAAAAGCTGGTTCTGTGGCTCCCTGGTGATGGTATTCCGGTAGCCTCTGCCTTCACCATCCTGAGGGCAGCTCAAAACCTCTCTCGTTAGCTTGGTCTGTAATCATGGGTCAGAGGGCAACTGTCCTCATCCAACTCATCCTAAACCCTGTTAGAACCCAAAAGGGAGTTTCCAGTAGCATCTCTTGTGATCCAAGTCTTTTCGTTTAATTTGTTTGTTTGCTTCCTTAAAGCTCATTCTTCTGAAGGACCCTGACAAACTCAGGAGTTTGACAGTTTGACCATCACCCTCAAAAGCATTTTCCTTTGCTCATCCCCAGCCAGATTGTGACTTTCTACTCATTCTTCAAGGAGTGAGTTTATTCTCTTTCAAGGATACCACCTACCAAGTGAATTGCTTATAAATCTTAGCATGAAACCAAAACATCAGCCAATTTCTCCATGGAGCCGTTGTCTGCCCTGGAAGCTCATTCAACTCCCATAACCCCTGCCATTAGTGCCCTATGGCCTGCCTACCCCACTGTCACCCCCACTGTGCCCCTGAATAGATAAAGGCTCAGAGCTTAAGTCATCTCTGTTGCTCCAGGGCTACACAACTCTGATTATCCTAATACTTGCCATATTATACTGTAATCATCTGAGAGGAAAGAAAACAAATATTTACTGACAGCTAGTATGATCCAGGCTTTGTATTAGATGCTTTACATATATAATGTCCTTTAATGCCCACCCTTTGAGAGGGATATAATTATCTCTATTTTACACATAGGAAATAACTGGAAGAACTGGCATGCCCTGTCACAAGATTACATGACTGATGAGGGCCGGAGCAGGGTTTCACCCCCAGCCAGTCTGACTGACATCAGGTGCCCCTCCACCATGCTGTCTCATGTTTATTTATATGTCTACCCTCCTCTCGCCCCCACCTGCTGTGAGATCCTCCTTGACAGTGACTGTCTGTAATTCGTCACTGTATCTCCACTGCGTCTGTCACACTGTAAGTAGGGTCTCAAACGATATTTTTTTTTTTTCAAAAAAAGAAGAAAGAGAGAAGGAGGGAAGGAGGGAAGAGAGGGAGGGCGGAAAACTAAAGGTCCTCGATTTTGCCTTGCACTTAGTAAGCACTTAATAAATGTTTATGAATGAATACCGAGGTTTGACAGAAGCCCTTGAAGCTATCCCTTGAGGCAATCGAGTGATCTGATTGGCAGAACTCACTTTATCAGCCTCCTCCAGGCAAGCTTGTGAAACAGAGCAAGAATGATGGGGCTGGAGCTAATGTAATTTCAGATGAATCCATTAGAGTCCCTGTACTGCTGGAAACGGGGACGCAGAATTAAAGTGCCTTTCATAATTTATAGTCAAACACAAATGGAATGTGGAAAGTGGAGCCCTTGCTTTATATTCTGATGCCTTTTCCCCTGGCCCTGGAATTGGTTATCACATGACGAGAGCTTCAACAAGGGAAGAAAGCTGGGGTGATTTAGGGGCAATTCTTTCTGCAGTCTGAAAACTAGATGAGCTGACTTACCCAGCTCTCCTTAGGTCTGTCAATTTTATGATTATATTATTTGGGTAACAGGAGGCAGGAGAGAGGACGCAGCCAGACTGGGAGTGCCTGTCTGATGAGAAGCCGTCAGGACCAAGGGAGCGTAGAGAAAGGTTGGGAGTCTATTCCATGTGGCCCTGCACCCTGTCACTGAGACACATCAATACATCACGGCAGATGAAGGTGTCAGTGTTTCCACAGCCTCTGTGCAAAAGAGAGGTCAGCTGTCAAAACAGGAAGTCCATGTCTATGCAGCTCTGCTGATGAGGATAGTCTAGGAATTTCTGCATGGAGCAGAAATGGAGAGGGGGAGGGAGAAAGAGAGAGGGAGAGGTTGAGATTTAATATAGCTTGTCTGGAAAGAAATCAGGGGGATCAAAAGTTAAAAACTGTCAAGGCAATTCTCCAGTTCTCAAGACCTCCCAGGTTTTAGGATCATAGGATTTTGGAAGCAGAAGGTACCTTTCATGCATCCCCCTTATTTTGTAGTTGAGGAGTCCTGGGCCAACTGGGCAGAAGCTTGCAGAAAAGAGGCAGCCTGCTTCTGCCAGGTCACTAATGAAGGGGAGCCGGTGAGTCCTGGGTACTCAGTTCCATCCTATAGTCTTAGTTCTACCAGTATCCCTGGATCTACATCCTCCTTAAAATAAGTATATCAATACCTAATGTTTACAGACCTATTTTAACTTACCAAATAAGATAATAAATGTCAAACGAAAGTGTTTTGCTTATTTCAAGCCCTGTAAGGTGCTATAAACCCCTACGAAAATAGACTCATTATTAACATTGTTGTCATTAAAAACTATTCACCCCTATTGTGTCATCAATGTAAATAATAACAGATTTCCATTCTTTGTATATGACTTTACAGTTGACATTTCCTTTTTAACCTTCTAATAATTTCTCTAAGTCTTCTTTATAAGCTCCTTTTTCTCATTTTACAAAGTAATCTATGCTCATTAAAGGTAATTTTAAAATACTGAAAGACATAAAGAAAAATGTCACCTATAGTCCCAAAACCCAAAGATAATCACCATTAATCTTTTGATATATTTCCATCTAGTTTTCCCCATGCATATTTTAAAATTATGATCATACTGAATCAAATATTCTATTTCCTAATTTTTTTCATTTAAGATTATAACATACATTTTCCCATTTTACTAAAAACTGTTTTTTAAATGTCTTAATGGTTATATAACATTTTATCCTATGGGTATACCATAAGCTACTTAATCATTCCTTCTCATTAGCTATTAAGCTGTTTCCTTTTAAAAAATATTACATATAATGCAACAATTATTTGTGAATAAAGGTTTCCTATATCTCAATCTATAAACAACATTCCAGAATAGTTTATTAAGAATAGGAATCCTGCCCTCACTGGTTTGCCTCAGTGGATAGAGGGTTGGCTGTGGACTGAAGGGTCC